CCAGGCATCCTGGCCACCTGCCCAGGTCCGCTCATCAGCAGGAACGGAAGCCGTGTTGGGCAGGTTGGGGCAGTGGGGCAGGCAGGCATATTTATCACTTCACTTGTTGGCTGAGTCATGGTGCCAGGCCCACAGATCCACCCAAGCAGCCTTGACCATGAGCCCACTGTGTGCTAGACGGGGTAGGGGAACCCAGCAGGACTAACTAAGGCTCTGATGCCTGCCATCCAGCCTTGGCCCTCCTCTTTTCTGCTGAGTGACTTTGTGCAAGGGCCTGTCTTGGCCTCAGTGAACCCACCTGTGAAATGGGAGGAGGGAGCAGAGAAGCGTAGGTAACAACAATCATGCACTTGGTGTGTTTGTGGTATCCTGTGGTTGTGTCACAGGACTGGTGGGAATCAGGGCCAGGCCTGTCTCTGTTCCCGGAAGCATTCTGCTTCAACCCTTGGGGGTCATGAGCCCTCTTTGGCTTGACCAGATTTAAAACCCAGAGCCTGGTGCCTGCCGTGTGCATTGCCTTGTGCAGGTGGGGAGCCGTCCACACCTGGTCCAGGAGCACATGCAAGAGAAGGTGGCCATTACTGGGACCAGACAGGAGGGTTGGTCCATGCAGATAGGCCAGAGGGGCAGTGACAGTAACGGTCATTCACTGAGAAAGGGTTCATTCGAGTCCCACAGTACAGCAGTTTCTAATCAGGAGCTCAGGCCATAAGGCAGGTCATGTTCTGGCCAGGGGAAGTGTTAGGGGAGGTAGTCCCCAGATGGGGGCAGTGGGAGTGGCAGAGGCTGCCAGTTTTGCTCTGGGACCATTCTTGGGTCGCACTGCTCTCCCCAGGTATTAAGAGAACTGTCCCACCACAGTGATGTTGAATTCCTAGTCTTTCCCACTCAGGCTGCCTTTCTGTGGCCACACCGGCCCTCTGCCCCCCACAGCAGACCGAGGAGATGGAGTGGTGGGGCCTGGGTGCATAGGGAGGGAACTTCTGGAGGGCCAGGTGCACTCATCGACTCCAGACCTAGCACATGCTGGGCACTGGGAGGCCTTGGGGGACTTGAGGACTGCTGCTTCCATGCCACCTGTACCACGGTGGCCGCTGATGCCCAGGGCCTTGCCTACCCATTTAGGGACTTGATTGTGCCAGTCCTATGGCAGGGGTGCAGAGGCAGCACTGGCTCTTCTCTCTGCAGCTTGTCAGCATCCCTGCTGCCCAGGAAACTATCCGGGGCCTTGGAGTCCCATCTCTGGGGAGTGTCCCCGATGGGTATGTGATCAGGTTTGGGCTCGCAGGGCCCCAGGCTGCGGGTGTTTCAGGAGCCTCTGAGACTGTTGTAGAGGCTGACGTCAGTCCCCCTTCTCCCAGAGAGACATGCTGGGGTGTGGCACCACCATCTATGGTGACCGCATCTCCTCCAGGGCGCGGGGCAGGCATGGTCTGGGCAGCAAGACCTCCGGGCTGGCCAGGGCCTACGGGTTGTGGGCCAGACTAGGAGAATGGGCACACCTGCACTTGGGCGGAGGGAGCCGCCCCAGGCTCTGCCCCTGCCTCTCCGCCCACCCCCCACAGGGTCTCCGGGAGTAAAGGGTGGGTGGGGCTGGGGGAGGGGCATGCTTGCAAAGTTTCCCTGGGGTCTCCTGGTTGTTATAGTAAGGTCCTGGGACAGCCTTGAGTTTGTGTCCTGCGCCCTTGGAACTGTGGGAGGAGCAGAGAGGCTGTGGCCTCACCCCTCTCCCCTCTACCTGTTTGGGAACAGGGTCATTCTTCAAGACCACTCTCTAGGGGCTGGGGGGCAGCAGGGGGGATGTCTTGGTCCACCTTTCCTCCCACTGTGAGGGCAGCAGCCTGAGCTGATTGCTTGGGTCTGCCTGCCTTTGGGGTAGTTACTGGGGCCCAGTCTGAGGTCCTGAAGCTGTGGGGCTGGGCAGGCCAGCTGGGATCCAGAACTGGCTGGCTGGTCAGCCTAGGTAAGTGTCACAGGGACTGGAGAGGTGTCATGTGGAGGCTGGGAAGAGCACAGGACATGGAGATTGGGCAGTCCAAGTCATTACCAGGCTCCATCACATCCTCCCTGAGCACCTTGGGCATGTTTCTTCACTTGCCCCTAAGCCTCAGTTTCCTCGGAGGGCTTTTGAAAAGACCCCAGGAACTAATGTACGTGGCATGATTGAGAGTCCCTTCCTTACCTGGACTCAGAGGAGCAAGTCTGGGGGAGCTTTGGGCCTGACTCTGTTTAGAGAGTCCCCTGGGGAGCAACCCCGCCCCCCCCGCCCCGCCCCCGTGGCTGTGACTGGAGGAAGGGGTACAGTCTGACCTGGCCTGGGTGTATAGTTACTTCATGTGAATGGCTGGCTGGTCTTACCCCAGTGTGCTGATGTAATAGGGCCTGAAAACATGGCTTTTGCCCCTTCTCAGAAACGTGAGCCTTCGCTGGCAGGCCACACTTTGCTCGCCTCTGCCTGAGCCTCTGCCAGGGGCTGGCTCCTGACCCGGGGGAGGTGTGAGCTGGGCTGGCAGGCGGTGGGGGGAGGCCAGACACCAGGGCACCTGGGCCGGGGCTCAGGCCAGCCGAGCAGGGCCCTGGGACTGTAGGGGACAGCGGCTTGTCCCCAGAACGGCCGACTGAAGGCTGCCCCGGCAAGGGAGCTGGGCGAGGCCAGGCTGCAGGATGTGGGGGGAAGGCCTCACTTCTGTGGTCCTTCTTCCTTCTGCACTTTCCCCTGTGCCACCTCTTTTCTTCCTGAGGGTAAGAGAGCCACGTGGCCCCCACTGAAGGGTTGTTAACCACATGCCTGCTGGATTGCCTGGCCTCAGACCCTCTCCCTAGCACTTCACTGGCTGTATGCCCTGGGACAAACTGTCCCCTTTGCCTCAGTGTCGTTATCTGGAGGATGGATTTGGCACTGGAATCTAAGGTTATTGTGAAGATTAATTAATTCGGCTAAAGTGCTTAGATTAGTGCCTGGCACATAGCACACAATACGTATTAGCTGTTTTTTCCCTAAGGCCTAATTCAGGTATTTCTGTTTTTCCAATAACCCCCAGCCCAGGTTATATCCTTAGGTGCCTACTCCCACCCCATGACTGTCCCGGAGCTCTGGGCAAGGTGTTGTGGCTACTCCACCTGCTGGGTGACTCCGGGCTCCTGAGAGCCCCCCGAGCTGCATGCACAGACACACCTTCTGCTGTGTGCACATGCCGCTGGTGCCCGGGAGCTCGGTGTGGGGCGTTTGAGGCTCTGTGGGCCTTTCAGCCATCAAGAGGCCCCTGGCGAATGTTAGGCTGACAGTGAAGGGGCCTAGTCTACTTTGCTGCCTTTGAGGTGGGATCCCACTGGGAACCTGGGGAGCGAGCCCAGCCGATTCAGACCTGGTCTTCACAGAAAATTTTGCCTTCTCTTGCAAAGGCCAAAAGTCCATTCTGCCGTGGTACCCCCACGGGACTCCTTCAAGGATACTCTGCCCTTCCCGTGTCATTGTCTGGGCTTCTACCTCAGTGCCTCATCAGTCTGACTTGAACTTTATCCCAGAGGCAAGTTCCTAGGCTGGCCCATTATTCTTCTGTATGTGGGAGGAGAAGCCATGTATGTCTGTGGCTCAAAGTGGGAACAAAGGGAATTTAGTCTGTCTTTCTGAGGTATGGGGTTGGCTGGCGACCCAATTCTGACACAAGTTAAAAAATGTGCCCTTGGCATCTCCCGGACTCTCTTGCAGTCCTTTCCCATCCTCCAGGGCTCCTACCCACCCCCGGTGCCCCCGTTCCGGAATTAGCTGCTCCCCTGTATAGAGCTGATTTATACTCTAGGGTGAGCGTCTAGCACCCGATAGTCTTACCAGAGGCATTTTAAAGGGGACACTGTGCAACTGCAGGGACACTGATTGGATAAATTTGGGTGAGGAAGTGCCCCCATCCCCGTCTGTCTGCACAGCTGGAGCCCCGGCTGGCTGCAGGTGTGTCCAAAGCTACTAGTTTCTGGCCCTGCGAAACTTGAGGAGACTTTATTTAGACAGAGCTGGGGGAGGGTATCTCTAGAAGCCCACGCGCCAGAGATGTCAGGCCCCCAAGCCCGGTGGCATCTGGAGGTTAATCAGCTAGAGAGCAGTTCAAGGGGCCCCTGTGAGGGCTGGCTGGGGCATCCAACACTGAACTTCTGGTCTTTGCCGCCTCATTAGGACAGCCAAGGCTTGGGAGGTACAAGGCTCTGGTGGCCTCAGCTGCTCCCTCTGTCCTCGTGGGGTGCCATTTGCCATCCCAGAGTCCCCTTTCTTTGGAACACCTCTAACGTCCTGCCTAGGCCATAGCCCCCCTTGGGAAGCTGAGGGCAGTGACACTGAGTCACTGTGATCAAGTACCCTTCTCCCTATTTGTCATGGTGGGTCCTCCCCCTGCTGAGCACTGTGTTTGTGGGCCACAACCCCTCAGGTGGGCAGTCCCCTTGACTTCCCAACCATAGACTTGGAACCAGGAGCCCCCTTACTATCACCTATTGTACCGATGGGGAACTGGACAGAGATTCTTATCCAAGGTCATCCAGTAAGTTGGGAACAGAGAGCCCAGGCTATAACCAGGTTTTCCTGGTACTGGGTTTGGTCACTTTCCCCTGGCCACCCCTTGTCTGACTCCCAGGGCAACCCTGGCCACAAAGGCTGGCAGGACCGGGCTGGGCAACCTTGCTCCATGCCTGGTACAAGGCTCTTGGAGGTGGGGAAAAGCAGAGGAACGGGTCTTCCAGCTCTGCGGCCCCACACCCAGCCCTCAGCTGGGCCCGGCTAAGACGAGTCCCAGCACGCGAGCCGTGAGGCGGTGCCAGCTCTGTGGAGGGGTGCGTATGGGGGTGCTGGTGGCAGTTCTGACCTGGCTTGGGCACTGGGGCTGGCACTGGCTGCCAGGACCCTCACCACCTCAACACAAGTCTGGCCTCTCCAGGTACTCCAAATGGGCAGAATGGGGCAGGCAAAGGGCTCTGCAAACTTGACCTCCGGTTTCCCATCTGTAAAGCCCAGTATGGATGCTGCCCTGTACCCCAGCCCTGCCCAGGAATCCCCCAACTGGTGAGGTCTGTGTCTGAGTGGCAGGATGGGGACAGCTCCAGTGGGTTGTGTGTGTGTATGGGGTGAAGGGCACATCCCTGGGAGGTCCCCTGAAATGTGCTCCCCACAGTGGAAGTGCCGATGGGGGCTGGGGGCCTACATGCCCTCATGGATGCTCAGGGTGAAGGCAGGATAAGCCCCTGTCTCCCACCTGCCATTCCCTGGGCCCCTGCCGCCCTGGGCCATGCCCATCACACCCTCTGCAAGTCTAGTCTTGACTTGGTTTTGGTAGAGAGACACGGAGCTGATAAATCACTGTGCCTGTCAGGCCGGAAATGCTGATCCTGTCTGAAGCACTGGTGGGGCCCCTTCCTCCTGGGAGTGCCTAAAGCGGGGTGGATTTCAGGGTCTTGAGGCCAAAACTGGGGGAGATCTGTGCCTCTCAGTGGCCTAAGCATGTCTCCCTGGCAGCTCCCAAGTCAGGAGAGAAGCCTTCAGAGAGAAAGTGATTTATCTGCTACTACCCTGATATCCTGGGCAGGAGGGGAGCCTGGTGTCTTCCTGGGCCCGGGCCTACGGTCCTGCCCCTTCCACCCAGCCTGACATGGCCACCCCTATACCACTCTGGCCCTGCTGACAAGGAGTTGGGGCCTCTGCTCCCAGGTCCCAGCCTAGCCTGTCAGAGCACTAAGGGAGTTTAGTGTTCTCCCGCCAAGCCCCTTCTGTTGTCTAGAGAGAGGCTGAGAGCTGCCCCAGGTCAGCAGTACTGGGCAAGGGAGCAGTAGAGCTAGACCTGTCCCGTGGCAGCCACCCTGGTCAGGCTCTTTCCCCCTACCACTCCTGGCTCTGCTCCTCTCCTTGAGAACCCTTGGTCCAAGATGCTTTGGGTTTGACCTGCCTGGGCCCTCAGGACTGTGCTTAGGCCATGTTAGCCAGGGCTATAGGAGGGGGTGCAAACGATCCCCCAGATGAGGAAAGCAGAGTTATGTTTATAACTGCCATAGGGCACCAGGGTGTTGGGTGAGCTGCAGGAGTGGGGCAGTGTGTTCTACAACATTCTCTAGCCCCTGTGACCCCTACCCCTGCCTCCCATTCAGGCAGGTTCCCCTGGAAAACTGCACAGTGGCTCTGCAGCCCCTGCTCCCCTCCCTGGTGGGCCCACCCTGGGAGATCCTGCTCCTGCCAGGTCAGTGCCTCGGGCCTGGGATACCAAGGAGGTCCTGCAACTCTGGGCAGGCAGGACAGAGGCTCATCTTTGTCTCCGGTTTCTTGTACCCCTAGGAACCAAAGGGGTCATGCCTCTGGAAGTTCAGGGTTTCCTTAGCTCCATGGTGAGGCTCTTTTACAGACGAGGCAGGTACTGGGATGTACTGTTTGTGCGGAGTGGATGCATCAGAAGTACAGAGAAATGTTCCAGAGTCTTCTTGGATCAGTTTGCCCCTAGCGCTTGTTTACGGGGCTCTGTTGCTATTTGGTGCCTCTTCTTTGAACACTGCACCTGAGTGAGAGTCTTGGGACCTTTGTAGGGATTTGCCTTCCCCAGCACCCAGGCCCTGGACAACTCTGGGTCAGACATTTCCCTGTCCAGACTATTGTTCTCCAAGTGTAGTCTGCATACCACCTACAGGACCCGGGACCTTGTTCAACATCAGAGTCCTGGGCCGTTGCCCCAGATCCACTGAATCAGCCTCAGGGATGGAGCTCAGAAGACTTCTGATAGTCTCCTGCTGATTCCTAGGGACCCTGAAGAAAAGAGCCCATGGTCTGGACAAAGGTGATGCTTTGGATTTCACTTTTGGTCAGTTTGGCATCCTGATGCACAGGTGGGGGGCGTTGGGGTAAAGGCTAGGGTCCTGCAGCTGAGACCTCAGACCCCAAGAGTTATGAACTCTAGGTATATGGGGGGTGGGGGAGGGCTCTGCCCATTTACCTTAGATCCACAGTTCTGACCAAGAAACTGAAAGGGTAAAAATTACTTTAAAAAATGTGACTCTCTTAATCCTCCTTACACGATACTATACTTTGACTTATTTTTTATTTTATTTTTGTTTTGTTATTTATTTATTTATTTTTAAATTTTTTTTTTTAACGTTTTATTTATTTTTGAGACAGAGAGAGACAGAGCATGAACGGGGGAGGGGCAGAGAAAGGGGGAGACACAGAATGGAAGCAGGCTTCAGGCTCTGAGCCATCAGCCCAGAGCCCGACGCGGGGCTCGAACTCACGGACCGCGAGATCGTGACCTGAGCTGAAGTCGGACGCTCAACCAACTGAGCCACCCAGGCGCCCCTTGTTATTTAGTTTTGAGACAGAGAGACAGAGTGCAAGTGAGGGAGGGGCAGAGAGAGAGGAAGACACAGAATTCAAAGCAGGCTCCAGGCTGTCCACAGAGAGTCCGACACGGGGCTCGAACCCACAAACCGTGAGATCATGACCTGAGCCCAAGTCAGACGCTTAACCGACTGAGCTACCCAGGCGCCCCTCGATACTGTACTTTTAGCAGTATGTTGGTTGAGAGAGCAATGCGATCCTGTGAACTCAGTAACGCTTTCTAAAGGATTTGTGCTTTAGCCATCACTTAAGTCAGGCAGCAGGTGACACATGTCAGTGATTCAGGGTGTGGGTTGGAAACCACAGGTCCGAAGGGACCCATGGGCTGCAGTCGACGGGGTGGCGGGAGTCCAGGGAGCAGGCGGACAGACAACGTCTTCCATCAATCCAGAGTTAGAAGTGGCTGGGTCCACCGTCCTCACTTGAACCTCACTGAGAGGTCCACTTGGCATCCTGACTTGTGACACTGCTATGGAGTTCTTGTCCCCGAGGTGTCTTCGAGGGATGCTGCCTGGGTCCCTTGGGTCCTTCGGCTGGCCAGGGCAAGCAGGCTACTTAGATGCGGGCTGCCAAGGAGAGTGGCCCTCTTTATGGCCAGTGCAGGGTGAGGCTTGAGGCTGTCTTCTTGACAGCTTCTTGAAGCTCTTCTCCTAGCCCTCTGTCCTTGGGAATGGCGGGTGGCAGCCTGATGCAGATTCCCAGCCCCTGGCAGCTCTGACCCGATGCTTGTGCATGCCCTCCCCTGTCAACCTGTGAAGTCTGGGCTGGCATTGAGGTCCCCTCGGCTGCTGGGGTAGTGGTCAGGAATTTTTGCTCCATGATGCGCTCATCTCGTGGCTCCTGGAGCTTGTGGCTGTGTTGGGAAGACAGGCATCTTAAAATAGATGGGCCAGAGGGAGAGGGACGTAGGTGAGCAGAGCACGTGGCACACTGCTCCGTGGCCTTGGGCAAGTCCATCACCTTGTCTGTTTCAGTTCCTTATCTGTGGGAGATGCTAATCTCAAGCCTGCCTGCCTCAAATAGAAGGGTAAAGGTGGAAAGGGGTGGAAAGTGTTTTCAGTGTCAGAGAATGCCTCAGTTTTTCATACCTTCTTTCCTATTCTGCTGGAGCCCTGACCCCAGGTCAAAGCCCCTCAGGGTTTTGATTTGTTATATGAAAAGTGGCTTTTCCTAGGATTTGCAGAGGTTAAAGGGCCCCGTTAAAGGTATGAGCTGGACGCCTGGGTGGCTGAAGTGTCTGACTCTGGGTTTCGGCTCAGGTCATGATCTCACGGTTTGTGAGTTCAAGCCCCGCGTCAGGCTCCACACGGACACTGCAGAGCCTGCTTGGGATTCTCTCTCCTTCTGTCTCTGCCCCTCCCCTGTGCAAGCATGTTCGCTCTCTCTCAAAATAAATAAATAAACTTAAAAAAAAAAAAAAAAAGGTATGAGCTGGTTGGCCTTCACCTTCTCAGGCAGCTTGAAGCAGGTTCCAAGGTGGGCCCACCTGTCCCCGAGCAGCTCCGAGCTGTGGCCACATGGTCTGGGAAGGACCCAGGTCAGGCAGTGCTGAGGAGAGCCCTGAATGAGGCCTTGGGGGCAGCTGGCCACAGGCTCTTAGCACAGTGGCCTAAGTGAAACTGGAAGTCTCACCCAGAATGCTGGAGTCAGCTGGCACCTAGTGATCCAAGTTCAAACTCAGCAGTTTCTGCTGATTTCCTCCCCAGGGAGCTGAGGCCAGCACAGGTTCAAGCTGGAGGGGATTGGGAGGTCACTGCAGCCCTTCCCCTGATGGAGACCCAGCCCTCAGAGGGAGGGGCTGCCCCGAGGCCAAGGAGCTGGTTTCAGTAGAGAAAGCGTTTGCTTAAGAGCTTGTTGTGTAAACAAGATCGCCGAGGGATAAGCTGAGTAGAGTTGAGGGAACAAATTGTTTTTAGGGACCGGGCAGATCCAAAGTCTTATCAAGTGGTGAAAGAGGCCCAGCTCTTGGGAAACTGCTAACCTGTTGAGGCTTCTCCCTGTAGGTGAGAGGCCGGGCCTCCCTGGCTTTTGCCTCCAAGGGTGACATGGTCCCAGTGCATGGAGTCCTCTGCAGGCCTGCATCCCCTCATCTGTGAAACAGGAGACTCTGGTTTCTGCTGGCAGATTTGGCTCTCATGACAGTGTGCAGCTGAGGCTGGTCTGGCCGGGCCCTGACCCCGTGCCGTGTTGAGCAGCATCTCTAAGGGATGGAATCAATGCATTGGGAAAGGTCACTGCTGGTCGGTCTCCTAGGGCCTCCTCAGGAAAGCTGAGGGAAGGCAGAGGCAGTGGGCAAGAGGGAAGTGGGGTCTCAGAGGCAGTGGGCAAGAGGGAAGTGGGGTCTCAGTGAGTATGGGTGGGTGGGGGCCCCCTGAATGCTTGGGCCTCCCCTTGCCCTGCCAGGCTGTGGGAAGCAGTCTGCTGTGGGCCTGGGATGGGAGCATGTGGGGATGAGGGGACCCACTCTGCCTGCCTGGTGGGCAGTATTCTTTACTACGGAAGGTTTAGGGGAGGCTTCGAAGCTCGGTGGAGACAGGACAGGTGTAGGAAGCACCACCTGGGGACAGTGTAGACAGGATGTGGCCTGCGGTGCAGGCGGAGGGCAGGGACCATGCCAGTTCATTTAGATGGGCCGTGACAGCTCAGACAGGCCCTTCTGGGGCCAAAACCTTTTTCTTCGGGGGGTGAGGAAGAGGTAGGGTTTGGGTTTTGTACTTTCAGAGGAAGCTCAGTGGTATTTCTAGCCTGGTGGTTTCTACACATGTCTGAAGCTTCCCTCCAGACCTGAGCTCCTGGAAGCGGAGGCTCCACCTGGGCCAGCTCTGCCCCAGGCAGCCTCGGGAGGCCAAAGGTCCTGTCCGGCTCTCCTTGCTCTGCTCCCTTCAAGGGTGAAGCTCCGTGGCCTGTGGCCAGGATGTGGCGATGCCTCTCCTGCTGAGGAGGTCCACTCCCCGCTGAGGAGGTCCACTCCCGGAGCCCAGCCTTGGGTGGAACCTGCCTCTGACAAGTCTGCACAGAGCCTCCTGTGAGCTGGCTCCCTCCTGCCTCTCTTCCACCCACCTCTGCCTCTCCGCCACCTCTATCCCAGCTCTTCCTAGGCAGGCGCCAGAATCCTCTTTTCCGCGCTGAGCTGCGCTGGCTCCCCGGGTTAGAGCAGTGGCCCTTGTTGGTGGGGAGTTTACTGCACGCCAGGCTCTCTTAGGTTCTTTATGTGTATAACCTCCTTGAATTTTTGCAGCCATCCTGAAACATAGATATTACTACTGTCTCCATTTTACAGATGGAGAGACTGAGGCCATAAGAGGTTTCGTGATGTCCTCAGGGCCACACTGGGTGCCCTGAACTGTGCTGCTTTGCCTCTTTATTCATTGTTTGTTTTGGCCCCTGACACTGGGGCCCTCGAGATGGGTGTATCACGAACTCATTTGGGTCAAGGTCGTGTTGCTGAACGGACACTCATCGCTACCCTTCCTGCCACCTGGCTTGTTGGGTCTTCTCTTCTCCAACCGCTGTTCTGGAACTAGTATTTGGGAGCTCTCCGCACCCCCATGCCGCCCTCCTCCAGCTTTCCGCGCAGGCCTGCTCGGCCGTGTGTGGTGCGCCCTGCCTCCTCCCGGCCCCGCTCTCTGGGTCTGCTGGTGCAGCTCCTGTCTCAGGAATCGGGGAGGTGTTTGCACTCTGGCACCTGCAGCCTCTCAGCCGGACCAGGCAGACAGCATTCCTGGGACAGCTGTTTGTACACGGGGTCCATTCCAGGCTCAAGGCTCGTTTGTCGCCACCTCCTGAGTGCAGGGCCTCCTTTAGATCAGTCTCATCTGTCGCCAGCCTAATGGGCACCCTGTCCTTCCTTCCCCAAGTGGGTCTGCATCCTGTCCTTCCTGTGGATGAGAAAACAGACCAGGTGTGGGAAGAAGCATGTGTCCTGCGTGGCCAGCCCTGCCTCAGCACAGACGACTTACCCGTGCCGTCCCTGCCCTCACCCCCCCCCC